TTCCTATTAAATATGAATATGAGTTAATGTGTGGCATCAAACAGCCACAAATGGCTTGGTGCATCAGTGCAGTACAAATGCTACGAGTGAAGTGAATCATCTTCAGTGAGCGGGGTTTCTTGGAAATGAATGGCTGACTACTAGCATGTTTCTAATGAGGATTCATGCAGACATAAACAGGAAGCAGGAATAAAGGGAGAAAGAGACAATAAGAACATAGTAAGAGATAGTAAGTGCCTCACTAAATCCCTCTTTGGTTCTATCCGAAAGGCTCAAATTGGGATTCAGGATCAGGAGATACCACAAACTATCCAGGAATAAGAGAGGAGAAACAACTGCTTATTTACCTGTAGCACTGCAATTAGCGGGACTATTTGAACATGCACCTCCCAAATGTTCATTATAATCTCATTATATACTGTCATACTAGTTCCATCAGCTTCACAATCATTAGGGAACCTTCATCAGACACTATATAATTAGTGGGAGTGCTCTCAATTATCTTGTTACCGAGGCAACAAAGTTTACAAAGCTAAAACAGATTTAAAAGGATTTTAAAGCCATTATTACAGGTTCATGTTTATTATCTATGAGAGATTGATTCAACTTTGTCAGTGATTAAGGGGCTTGAAATTCACCTGATGGACTTCAAGTGCTAGTTCACCCAAAGTTTAAAATTATCTTTTCAAACCTGTATCACTTTCTTTCACAAATGTAGATATTTTAAAGAATGAACAGTTTTGGTGATTACTGATGACTTTCATTGTATGACTAAAAAACACAGATGTTTTTCAAAAATGTCTTTATGTTTCACAGAAGAAAGAAAGTCATACAGGTTTGGAACGACATGAGGATGAGTAAATGATTACAGAATTTTCATTTTTTGGTGAACTATGCCAATAATTGTGAAAATTATGAAGTTTGCATGGAAATGAACACGTTATTCCAAAACTTTCATGTTTTCACGCTCCAGGTCCAGCTTTGGCTGTCATGTTGGGTGACTGAACAGGTGTGTGTTTTAGACCTCAAGCAGAGAATGACTTATACAGGTCAAATAAAGAGAGGGAAAATAAGGGTGTTGTGTGCATGTGTTTGTCCAGTCAGAGGCCAGAAATAGCACCGCTGTAGGGTCAATATGACTCTGTCAGGTACACACACAAATACAAAAAAAAAAACAGTAAATGTCTACAAATAAGTACACAGATAAACACTACCGAGTATGGTAACCAAGTATGACTATTTACACAAAGCCGCTTCCATTTAAAACCATAATGAGGTATGGAAAATGCAGGATTTTGAGCTGGACGGGGGAACTGTTACCATGCTAAATACACACAACAATACATTCTACATGTATTAGTGTGTTCATTATACAGACACATACTTAATGCTGTTACATTCAATGAGCACTAGGTATGGATATCGCCAATTGCCTTAAATATTTAAGTCACAATATGACAATAATCACAATATTGTTATTGGATCAGGCAAAATGAGACCTAATGCAAAGATCACTTTTGCAATTGCTTATACATGTGGTGGTAAAAAAAAAAAATTAAAAGCCAAATTACTTTAATAATCAAATTACAAAATTACTCAACTGTCAACTTATGCTCTGGTACCATTTTGTGAATGAAATAGAGTGGATCAAATGTAAGACCAACTCAAGCAGATAACTTCTGAGCATTCAAACATAAAAGTTTAAGTTTTTAAGTTTAAGTTTTGTTTAAAAGAGTCAGTTCAGAGTTACTTGTTTGCACTGTTTGCGAATCTATCTGATTGATTTGTTCAAATGAATCAGCTCATTAGAGTGGATTTTTCCCTTGATAGTCAACTCTCTGTCTTGTTAAATCTATTACATGTGAAACATGCATTATCTATGCATTTTCTGCTTTGAAACTGTGTAGCATTATGATCCGAGCATTTTGATTGACTTTCCTACCTGCCTGTCATCATATGTGTTTACATACCTCTGCGCACCCGGTTCGCGCAGACAGAATACGCCACCAGCGCGTTCACGTACGCTATGCAGGCAGCGAAAATGACAGGCAAACATCAACAACCTGACCTTCCTTCCTGTTATTGCAGTACTTTTACTAACTGTACTATAAAGTTTTCTCACCAGTGAATGACACATGATGTATTGTAGTAATGTTGTCTCTGGTCGTCTGGTCTGTGAGCGTATATGCGTTCAGGGGGTGTGGCTTTGGAAGGCAATTTGCAGTGAGGGTGGGGCGTTCGCTTTCAGTGCTATCAGGCTGAAGTTAGCATTTTTCAAGATGTTCTACTGCACCTTTAATATCATTTGATTCATTTTCTGATTCCAGACCAGATTCTGTACATCTTCCAAAAAAAAAAACTGCTAATCGTGATTTTTTTTATTTGTCTTTAACATTTAATTTATGCTTTTTTAATAGAATTAAATAGTTTTACTATTTACTACAGTAAAAAAATTGTTCCTAACAAGCCCACACACATACAAGTATGTACATGCACACAAGACAGACATCAGCAAATCATGGCTCTCATTTGAAAAGCATGAATTCCAAACTAAATATTCAAACATTAAAAAACACACAAAATCCCAGGACTCTGTCTGCCCTCTGTTGTCCTCTAACTAAGCGGGTTATTTCAAAAGGACACATGTCCTCCATCTTCCACAGACTGTTTTCTCTCTCTCGTCAAGGGCAGCCGGCCACGTGTCATATTTTACCCTGATCTCACTTTGATGGCCTGTCTCTTTTCTCCTTCAGACAACACACATGCACACACTCTGTGAGAGATATCCATCCAGCCTTCCCTGTTCTCCACACAGTGGGCTGCTCTCCATCTCTCCTCGTCTAATCTAACACAGATCAGTGGCTAAAAAGCATTAGTGTACGAGGTGAGGTAAATCTCCTCCATTCACTAACTCTGAAAAATGACACTGCTGGATTAGCGGCGGCCACAATCAGAGCATTAAACACACGTGCACATTTACACCAAGACACAGTCAATAAAGCACTCTTAATCACGGAGGTATTCAACAGGGAGGAGGGCGCGTATCCTTGAGAGATGTGGAGGGCCGCACATCTATCAAATCTCCGCTGTGAGCGCTGGACCGCTCGTATAGGCGAGGAGGTGGGGCGGCAGTCAACTCCAGGAAATAAGAAAATGATTAAGAGTGATTTAATGTCACAGAATGTGGAGAAAACGCACATCTGTCCGACATAGAATGATGTTATTACACCACCTTCCTTGCGCCTCTTCGCCTCTCTGCTGCCTTTCTCTCGCTCTCGCTGCAGTTTCATCTCTAAGAGCGATGAAGCTTGTATATAAACTCAGTGATTGGAAACCGGGAGAAAAGCCACAGCGAAGAACTAACACGAGGAGCCCACATCAAATCAATACAATTTGTGTCAGGTTGAATACTGCACTCGTAATGAAATATGGCCACACTAACCATTACAAAAAAATTAGATGGGGGACACTGGGATATCCTCTAGTACATCTGGATGCATGAAGACTAAAAATGCACGATTTCAGTTTGAAATAGTGTGCGGCCATATGTACACCTTAAAGGGGTAGTTTAACAAATAATGAAAGTTCTCGCATCCTCACATCTCATACCTTTCCAAACCAATATGATTTTTTTCTTCCATGAAAATTGAGATATTTAGCAGGTTGCCCAGGCTGAAATTGGACAGCCTCACTCATTATCTTGCACTGCAGAGTCTCACATTTCCACAGAATTCTCACTCTGCACAATCACCCTGCCATGGCGATATATTTAACAATCATTCAGACCTTAACTGATCTGAAACAATATGGAACGGCATTTAAAACAAAAATTATAGCGGCAAGTTTTTGGTCAGTCGAGTCCATCCATGTATGCACACATTCATACAAAAATGTAATAAGTATTATGCTTCCCTCTAGTCAGTTAGGTAGAGGCACATTTGCTGTCCTTTGTAGTGAAATCACAAACGTATATATGTATATATAATATGTATATATACACACACACACACATATATATATATATATATATGTAACAGGCACAGTATATTTATCTTTAATGACTGACAACTTAAAAGGATAGTTCACCCCAAAATGAGATTTCTGTCATTTAGTCATTCCAAGCCTGTTAAGACCTTCGTTCATCTTCGGAACACACTTTAAGATATTTCTGATGAAATCCTAAAGTTTTCTGACCCTGCATAGATAGCAACGGAACCACCATGTTCAAGGCCCAGAAAGGTAGTAAGGACATTATTAAAATAGTCCAAGTGACATCAGTGGATCAAAATTAATTTTATGAAGCTACGAAAATACTTTTTGTGTGCAAAGAAAACAAAAATAACGACTTTATTCAATTTCTTCTTTTCTGGGTCAGTCTCCGCTGCCATTCACGAGTGTATCATGATGCATGTTGAATAAAGTTGTTACTTTTGTTTTCTTTGCTCACAAAAAGTATTCTCGTAGCTTTAAATTATGGTGGAACCACTGATGTCACATGGACTATTTTAAGGATGCCCTTACTACCTTTCTGGGTCTTGACCGTGTCAGTTCCATTGTGTCTATGCAGGGTCAGAAAACTCTCGGATTTCAACAAAAATATCTTAATTTGTGTTCTGAAGATGAAATAAGGTTTTACGGGTTTGGAACGACATGAGAGTGAGTAATTAAAGACACAATTTTAATTTTTGGGTGAGCTATCCCTTTTAAGTATCGCTTTGTTCTTCATATTAAGCGGTCGTTTGAATATTTGGAATGTATGGCACGATCAAATGGACTACTTTTGTGGTACTTGTGTTCTTTGTAGCTTGATAGCCATATTTATTATTCATTTTCATTCTATGGAAAACAACATCTGGATATTCTGCTAAATATATCTTGTTCCACAGAGACAAAATCATGCAAGCTTAAAAGAGAGACTGATTTTCAAACGCAGATACATACAAGCACACAAACAGACAGACAAATACTTGTACACATGCACATAAAAAGAAATATCTCACCTTGGCATTTCCCTCCATTTGTGGGGTCTCCATAGTAACCAGGTAGACAGATCTGGCACTGCGGCCCAGTTGTGAGATTCTTGCACTGCTCACACACACTGCCGTTAACACACGTACTGTGGCCGTTACATTGACATGCTGAAACATACAGTGAGGAGTGTGTATTAATTTGATTAGATTGTTTTCACACACAACATCAGTGACTGGTAATCAGTGCATATATGTGTGTGTGTACATGTGTGTTTTTATGTTTACCTGGGCAGGTTATGTAGGCCCAGTTATAGCCCTTTTCTCTTGAACAGACACTGGTGTCCAATACCCTCTCTCGGCTCTGTCTGCTCAGGCTCCTCATTGGTCCACGGTATGATCCCTCAATACACTGGCCCTGACCTGTGTCTGTAGGGTCTCCGCACCAACCGCAGTCAGGATGTCCCAGGCACTGACCACATGTACGATGACCTGAGCAGTTCTGAGCTAAAGAGAGAGAAGACTTAGATCAATTTTAGATAAATTAGTTCAAGATAAATGAGTATTTGCCAACCCTTTTATCTTTATGTACCTCCACAGCCACATCAGTAGCATTCAGTGTTGTTAATGTTAACTAAAATAAAACTATTAAAATTTGTTTTTGTTAACTGAAATAGAGCTGAAATGAAATATAAATATTAAATGAAAAAAAATTAATTTGATAATTAGAAATGAAATAAATGTAAATACAAAAATTACTAATAGTAATGGTGAAATTAGAAAAATAATAAAAAATAAAAATAAATGTTTTTTAAAGGATCATGTGACACTGAAGAGTGGAGTAATGACTGCTGAAAATTGAAAATTCAGCTTTTCCATCAAAGGAATAAACAGAAAACAATTGTAATATTACACAATATATGGTTAATACTGTATTTCTGATCAAATAAACACAGCCTTGGAAAAAAATTAACTTTCAAAAACATCACAAAATCTAAATTATTCCAAACTTTTGGCCCCCAGTGTAATTATATATACATAACAGTAATAATACTACTAATGATAAACATGACAAAAAGTACATTAAAATTATTTAATCTAAAATTAAATTGAAAACTGAAAATATAAAAAAGCGAATATTAAAGCTACACTATTTTACTTACACTTATAAACCTATAATAATTATTTATATTTTAGAGCAGTCGGGACAGATTTCTTGGGAAATTACAGACATTCAGCACAATCAAAATAATGTTCTTCTTTAAGAAGCATGCAGTTGTATTTTATAACAGCTAGTGGGCCAAAAGATATTTAATATTTAATAAATACTATAATAGTAAATAAATGAAACTAAAATAACTTGGTAACCTTTTAAATAAGCAATAAAATATCAAGTAACATCATTTTGCGTAAAGCCATTAGGCCATCAGAGAACAACTGCTGCAGGCTAGTAGCAAAACATCTTGGTTATGTATGTAAGATCAGATACATTACATACTTGTCACACTCAAACAATGATAAAACAGTTTCAGCTTTGCTTACCCACAAACTCCACCTTTGAGTAGAGGCAGCCCACACACATGGGCCTATTTACAAGGGTCTACAAGTCTTCTTCAGTGCAAACAACCAGCTTTAATGCTTACTACTGAAGTGTGGATGAAATATGGCATTTAAAGTGATTTTTTTATAGTCAAGCAAACAATTATTTGTTTGGCCTAACAGAAAAGACCACCACAGGAGCTGTCTTATTGATCTCCAGCAGGTACATATAAAAAGTCCAGTGACAGTCACTGGAGCTGACAGAGGAAAAGAGAGAGAGACATAAAACAAGAACAATAAAGGCCTAGAGACCCCAAACATCAGCTTAATTTATCTAAATGACCCAAGACGATAAAAAAAATAAGAGAATGCAAATGCATTTTCACAGTCTGTCAGTGAAACTCGCAAGACTGCCAGATAGATCTACATGCTCCTAGAAGTTGCAGCAACTCTTAGTTTATATTCTAAATTATTCTATATCAGTTTTATTGCAAGCACTGAAATGTTCTCCAACTCCGTGTTAGTATCTGACCTTTTAATTTCAAAATAAATAGTTTTTGGAGTTTTTGTGCCATTACATTATGAATGTGTATTCATACAATGTGTCTGACATTCAGAGTGCTGGACATTTGAGACACATGGGAGAGTGTCATATGATTTACATTTTCTCTGCCAGTAGGGGCTTTCTATAACAAAGTTTCCTGAGCCCCTCAGAAATGACCTCCTTTCATTTTTAGACATTTGTGTGTGTGGGAGCAGAAAATATATGCAGGCAATAGGGACAGAAGAAGCGTCCATCAATGTAACCCTCAACCAGACCCCGTCTAATGGGTCCTCAGACAGCACAAGGGTCAAAAAGTGTCTCAGGGTTAATGGCGAGGGCAGATTCTAAGATGTGGAGAGTGTTATTAAAAACAGGGCAGAAAGGCACCCTGAGAGAATGCTGCCACAGTCAGTGTGATACTCAGAAGTGAAAATAAGACTCTCTGAAGTGCCAGTGTTTGACCTACCTTATAATATTCAAAAATGTGCTGTTTGGAGACATTTTAAAATTTTAAAGGCAAAGTTTTACCATCTACAAGGAGTCTTTCTGGCCATTATCACAACTGCAGGTTTAAAATATTGTTCATATGAGTAAATACATTTAAAATAAAACATATAAAATAAACTAATATTTAATATTAAAATTCATATTTAAATATAATTATAATAAGAACCAGAAAGAACACCAAACAACTGACATGGTGAATTGAAGCTATTCTGATTACTGCAGGATGTATACAAACATCTTATATAAATTAATAATTCATCACATGGAAAAAAGAAATTTGAAAAGTTTTCTGACATATTCTGTAGAAGTTCTGGGCATATTTGCATGTTCTTTTGCGCTATTGATCTAGATTTCCACAGTGCACAGATGTGTTAGGTGAACTCTCTACCCAGAAGCTCCTCACTCCTCCTGCATTATTCACGCCCAGTACAATGATTCATTTTGCTATGCCATGTATTCGGCACAATCACAGAGGTGTTTCATAATTACAAACACAATTCTCATCTCTTCCTCTCTCACTTTCTCTCACTCCCTCCTTTCCCTTTTTGTGTTTTAGCAAAAGATAGGAGGATTATCTTTAGCCAAGGACACCTACACATTCATTGCATATGCAAATCTATACAACGTTCTCAATGTTGTGTGTTTTTTTTTATAAAAAGTACCACTTGCCTTCACTTAATAAGCACACTGATGGGTCTTTACACAGATTCAGTATGAAGTTTCACTAAAGGTCATTAAAATTCCAAATTAAATCTAGAAATAAGTCCTTATTATAACATAGAAAGTTGCTAGTGGCACTCATTCAGCTATTAGACTTTAAAAAAAAGACATTTCGTTAAATCTCCAGTAGCTATGAGAACTGATTTACCTATGTTTTTCATAACTATATGCGGGGACATTATTAACACCATAGATTATCAGACATCAATGTAACTCTATTGTTAACTCTAAATTAAAATCTATTCGAGGCATGTCTGGCCAAATGTCAACATGAAAACGTCTCAGGTTATGTATATAACCATGGTTCCTCGAGGGAACGAGACGCTGCGTCGGAGGACGCTTCGGGAACGCCCTTCAGCGTGACTGGCTCTGAACCTTGTGTGTAATCAGACCAATAGATGGGCGAGACGTCACGGGCGGGTGACGTAATGACCAGGCAGCTATAAAAGCACGTGCGGTGAGACCAGCGTCAGCTTCTAGGAGTGAAGCAAGCGCTGGCAGAGCTACGTTGCCGGGCGGTGACTGAGAGTGGCGCTTGTGGAAGACCGCTGCGCCCTGGAACACCGGCAGGTTTGGCAGACTGATCTCCTGAGGGCACTGAGGAGAGACGGGCACCGGGTAATGCGGTGCATACCCCGCTCAAGGATACAGAAACGCTTTAGCCAGACCGGGCGCAAAGTCAAGATAAGAAAGGGCCTGCAGATCCCCAACTCTCTTGACAGAAGATATCGTCTTGATAGTAAGGCCAGAGATCTCCTCGATAGGCTCGAAGGGAGGCCTACAGAGAGCTTCTAGCAACACAGCCAAGTCCCCTCTAGCGGAAGGCGGTTCTGCGGACCGTCATTCTCGCTGGACAGTCTTCGTCGTAAACGTCCTGACGCCTATGGCCTAGGACTTTTTGAGGGCCAGCTCCCTCTGGGGAAGAGCG